ATTCCGCAGCACAAGACTGCCTCGGACCTCACGCTTCATTCATACTTACACACTCGACATCCCCACACGTTGCCTTTCTCACCTTTGTCCATTCTGTGCCTCCTGGTGCGCCAGAAAGAACGCGCCCTGAAGAGAAAAAAAAAACCGAAACGTCGACATTCCGTACAAGTGCTTCTTGAACACGAATGAGCTATGCTCGGCTAGCGTAGCTTCGAACTTCATCTATTCGCGTTGCTTTGGATGTCTTTCAGTCTCGACGGCTCTGGTTCTCGACTCCTTTCACGTTTCGGCTGTCGACGGCTTCAGCGTTTCAAGTTCGATTTTCGCCCCTGATATCTGCACTCTGTAAGATCACCACGATCCCAGATCCTCGCTGCTTAGCATGACACCCTCGAATCATTAAGGCGCAAGGCTCCCGTCGGCATCTTACGCTGACAAGAATCATAGTTGGTCAGTGCGACAATTGATCGCATCTCCTGCGCGAGCGACCAAAAGCGGTCTTTCATCCAAGCATTCGTTCATTCGCTCCACGTTTGATCTGTACAAGGTATGCTCCTGCCCCTGCATCTTTCCCTGCCCGGCTCCCCGGGTGATTGACTGCCTTTTACGGTGTTTTACGCCTTGAATGGTTGCTAACAGCCCAACTAAGCGTCGATGCATTGATCATTGCTGGCGCAGAACTGCCTCCAGCTCTCGTTCTGTTTTCTTACCAACAGGGATCATCGACGCAAGGCCAAGTGCTTGGACCCCCGCCGTTAGATTACACTGAGAACCCCCCGACCTCACACACCCGCACCGACAGCCGGCGCGCAAGTCGAATGCCTTCAGCCTAGTTGCTTCGTGCGAAAGTCGATTCATGTTCACCGGATCTCTCGCTCTTTATCGAGAGCGTCGCCGTGAGAACACCTAAGACCATGGCTGTCTGGGAGACGGAGGATGAGTCTAACGGCCCGGCCTCTCACTCGTTACCCACACCACAAGACACACCTTATAGAACACCGTCCAACGCTTCGAGGAGGTCACGTCGGTCTATAACTCCTCCAGGGATGCAGACCTCTCCGCCACTGCCGGCCGTTGACCGCGGTGGCAAGGCTTCCAAGCGGTCATCAAAAGACGTTTCCAACGACGACACGATCAGCGTTCTGGATCCTCGACGATTCACCCCGACTCTCCATGCAAACCTGGTGGCCGAGATACTCAACTTGAGGAGGGATCAGGAAGATAAAATCAAATTGATCGAGAACCTTGAGGCCTCGTTGCATGCTACACGAGGGGAGCAGGAGGCACTACAGGAGACTGCAACTGTCACTGCAAAGGAAACCAGATCCCTCAAACGCCAATTGGCTCTCCTTGAGGGTGGATCTTCGTCCGCTATTGGAGAGCTGGCTCGTGAGAGGGATGAAGCGGTTGAATCCGCAACGGAACTGAAGAAACGACTTGATGTTGCACAGCGAAAAATTCGAACGCAGGAAGATGATTCTCAGCGTGTTCATGACTTGTGGACGCGCGACAAGGACGCTTGGGACGAAGAGAAGCGAAAATACGAGCGGAAAATCCACATTGCTGAGACTAGAATGAAAGTGGTTCTTGATGAGGTTGCCGCATACCAGAACGCGCACACCAATGGAAATGGCGCCGAGAGCGAGGCGGAAGGAGACTGGTCGTGAGACCGACGCGGCTGAGCATCCCGCACAATGAGCAATGACCAACAGCATTTCGGGTCTCGACACAGCAGAAGTCCTTGAAAGACGAACACCGGCAACTGCCTTTGCGGAATGAGCCTCAACCCTTGATTG